GTGGTGGCACTAGGAGCCTTGGGTCGCCACGTATGGAGAGAGGCTATGTAAGTCTCAAGGACTGTCTCTTCATCCACCCTTCCTAGGGTCGTGCGTGGATTATCGGGCTCAGCAGCTGTAGTATGGTACTGCCACACCACCTCAAGCGCCCAAATAACTTCCTCCACAGGCAACCACGACCTGGGAAGTCACCGACCCGTATCCCACGATTGCTAGGGATAGGAGAATGTCGTGTTTCAAACTGCCTGTAAACCATACTCCATGGTCCTATGAATTTAAGACACCCTTTAAAAAGGGTTTATTAACGTCCACTGGTGTTACGCCTGAAGACGTATGAGAGGACGGCTTACAAACTCACTTATAACCTAACTTACATTAACACCCATCCTTTACATTGGATTTGAATCCAGCACCTCCCGCACCCCAGACCTGCCGCACGCCACTCGCCCCGTAACGATTAGTAAATCTGTACACTGGAAGAACAGATGACTTAGGAGTACAGAGGAGAAAGAGCCGCTTAATCCATGAACTAAAATTGCACAGGCCAACAATATGGCGGAGCGTCCGTTTGCCAGTCAGCGCCTGGCTACACACATACTTGCCCGCCAGCAGCCCAGACCATAGAGGAAATTGTGCATCATGCAGTATCAAGTTAGACACAAGGCTCGTTCAAAGAGAACTGCGCAACCAATCAGAGAACGGGTACGCCCACATAAAAAGAATCGCAAATTTAATGCATTTGTACTCATATTTCATGTGGTGGAAGTTTCCTTATCAGTCCGGTTGATGTCTGACAAATTTATTTTTAGGTATTGATTGGCGAGTAACACTTTCCAAGTCGTTTGCAAGCAAGGCCATTTTCTTTGCTCGCGCGGTTCGAAGTAACTGCTTGCGTTGCACTTACACGTACTGGGACATTGAATTATAACAGTTCATATGGCACGCCCTAGGGAAATCTAGTCAGAAAAACCAACACGGGGCAATAGTCACACTCATCGATAAGTATGTGTGTCATTCTCATCAATGAGAGCTATTACGAGTATGTATAGAATTGCGATGTTTAGTCTGATACCAAATGAATTTCACGAGGCGGGATGTTGGACCAACTCGCTCTCAGGTCATTAGGCCACAGGATCGAAACTGTGAATTGCACAGTACAGAGATTCATGGAGACGGGAAGGACCTGCTGGTACAACCCATTAATGCAACGGAATCTTTACGTAGCACCACGGCCAATCGGATAAGCCCCCCCCCCCCTAGGTTCTATAGGCCGCCCGATCTAGGAGGTAGGACTCGTGGTGGAAGAGGGTGGAACTCTCCATGTTAGAGAAGAACTGGAGAGATCCACACTCACAGAAGGCTCGACCCAGTGAGCGACTTACAGTTTCAGTACTGGCCTGGTGTAAGTGCTTTGGCAGGAACATGGGTGTGTGTGTGTGTGTGTGTGAAAGGCTCTGAGGATGTGCACTGAAAAAGGGATTTGTTGAAATTGTCTCTCTCAGTGAGACTCGGGTTGCGGAGAACCTTCTAGGATCGAGCCAGCGAGCTACTTAAGCTGCGACGGGCCACCGAGTTGACAGTTTTAGAGTTTGAAGGATTGTGCCAACTTAAGGGCACTGCCTCCAGGCTAGCAGCTGCGAACTTTATACAGGAAATCCCATGTTAAGGTAACTTCACACGAATGCGTTAATCTTAAAGATAAAGAGTTTCAAAAAAATTTTCAGAAATTCTCTACAGTGGAGATGTTTCCATAAAATGTGTAGCATATTTGCAAGGAATTTTTAAAATGTATGTTTTACAAGAAATTACATGCTGTCTATCTATATTGAAAATATATGCTCATAGCGAACTTCTCCTAAAAAATTTGCGAAGAACACATTTTGTTTGAAACGCCTATCTTTAAAATTAATGCACTGAGACAAAATTACCTTAACATGGGATTACCTATAAAAATTCCGCAGATACCAGCCGGTGGGCAGTGTCCTTGAGCTCCAGGTGTGCGAAGACAGCGAAGCGAAGAGCCAGCGAGTGAGCGAAGTGAGTGAAGAGATTTATTTGGGCTGCTTAACAGCTCGAGGTTCTTGAGAGCCGATGAGGGTGACGTGACTGGCTATGGAAAAGCGGAGGAATGAAAGGGTGGGCGAAACGGGAGATCCCCAAGAAGACGCGGTGACAAGCGGCTTCGTCTGACACGGCCGCGGATTGAACCTGGTTCGCCCTGGTGGAAGGCGAGCAGGCAAAAGGCTCAGCCACCGTGGCCCTAATTAGATTTGAGATAGACATTACATATTGCGCTCACTTAGAATAAAAAGAGTAACCGTGGAGATAGTTAGTTTAACGTTGTAAATAATATTTGTGTGAATAAATAAATAATCAGATTTGGTTTTTATTTTTATTAAGACCTCCATCCCTCACGAAATCAGACCCTCTGGCGACTTGTGACAGTATTCTTTCACATGCAAAAAATGAATTACGATTTCCGGACACATTCGGTAGTGTATGTTCTACTTTTTAACGAGTTCTGCACTTTCTACAGCAGGGTGGAAGTAACTAAGCTGGAAGAGACTCTCCTTCCGTGTTAGGCGATTCGCGCGTTGATCGCAATCCCACGTGCGCTGTCCCTCCAGGACGGCTCTGGAGCGTAAACAACCGCTCATCCAGCGGGAAGATCCTGCTGGATACTCCAGGGATACGCGAGAGATGCAAGGGAGCAGCCGCCATGTTCCCAGGCAGCATCTGGCCTCCGAAGTTGGCACGAGGAGGGACTCCGGAGGATGACAGGAAGTAGCTTGAAGGGAAGGGGGGGAGGGGAGTGTAAGCGTGTATGCCTGCACACGTCGCCGAAGATTACGTTTCGGGAAGTAGTCAACGCGGTTGGCTTGGTGATGCGCTGCCGCCGCGACAGGGGTTAACCCAATAATCCCTTCGCCGCCAACCCCCGCAGACCGCCGTGGAAAGACCCGTAAATGCGTGTATCACGAAGAGACCCGCCCCCGACAGCCATAATGCCATCAGCCACAGGCCGGGCCACCCCTTACCCCCTCAAACCACTCAGCCACTTCCCTCGCACAAGTTTGCTCCGGGTTCCATTAGAAGTTTGCGAGCCGCCGTGCACAGCGCGTTGGGCCCGCGTTTTCCATTTGAAGTTTACATGTAAACCGGTCTTTCATCCTCCCCTGACGACGCCGGGGGATTCAAGGGGGGCGGGGAGGGTTTAAAGCATTTAATGTATCAATAAAAAAAGCGAGAGTCACTTTGGCTGCCGAGCAGGCAGCGAAAAATAACAACGTCACTTCTTTTTCCCTGAAGTCGCTTCAGACTCTTTATTTAGAGACATCCCAGTGAAGCACTTGTGTAAAGGCTGTTCACCATAAAGTGAGCACTTTAAAAAACAACCTTAGAAATAAGTCACAGCTCCTAGCTGTATATATTTTAACTGGCGCCCTGAGCGTCATGCGCCCAGCGAAGTTGGTAGCGATGGATGGGAAGTAGTTCCGTATCTCAAAGTAAAAAAATAAGTATTAAGGAACCATTTCTGATAATTTAAATTATTTCTTTCGCTTTCTGTTTTTTTTAATGCATCGAAGTGTAAAAATGAGCGGATTTGTATAATCTTTACTTTACTAATAATTTCACAGTTTCACTTGACCGACGCATAAATATAGTGACTAGGCCCATGACAATGTTAATCTTACATAAGGCGGGAAAATACACAACGTACATACAAGTATGTCTTAAGCAGGGCTTTCAAAAGTGTTCATATTACCGTGAATAGCCTATAGTCTGTTTTTTGTTAACTCAGCCCTTTTGAAAACAAACATTTGAAAAATATCACACCTTCTACCTGCATGTATTTTAACTATCACACTGACTGTCGTGCGGCAAGTAAAGTTGGTAATGGCGGAGACTATAATTAGTTCCGTGACTTGGCGTCGAATTAAAAAAGTGTTTGGTAAACATTGTGAATAATAAGTTATTTCTTTTGCCTTCTGCTTTTTTTATTACATATAAGATTAAGCATTAGCAAATTGGTAAAATATTTACATTCCTAATAATTCCACAGTTTCTTTTGACCTACGCATGAATAATGTTATCAATTCCATGGAAGGGTACACAATGTTCATACAAGTAGATCTTATTAAGAAGCGCTTTCGAAAGTGCTCATTTTACCGTGAACTCCCTATCCGCAGGGTCAGAGCTAAAATTTAGTTTTTTTTTTTTTTTTTTTCGGTGGGCATGATATTTTTTTTTTTTTATTGTGCATGTTCTGGTCTAGTATTCCAATACGTGGCATGTCAGGAGAACACTCTGACATCATAATTTTGGGAAGAAGCGTTTAATTATGCGAATAAACTTACTGTTTTAAACAATTATGATAAAATTTAATTTTAGTTTTAAAGTATTCGCATAAGATTTTCAGGTCAATGTTAATGTTTTAGGAGTGGGGTCATGTCTCCTGTATTATATTTTTATTTTCTGATAAATACAAACTCAACTGTCTTAGATAGACACATATGTTGTAAGAACGGTTTCTTTTGAAGTAAGGATAATTACCGGCAAGAAATATTTTAGGACAGTCATAAAAATATTTACCTTATTTTTAAATACGAACTTTTCTTAAATTTTACAGGATTTTCTCGTAACCTCTCCGCCAATGTCGTGGAGTACTTTATTTTATATATCCAGCTTAGGAGATGGATTACGCAGAAACTGGTTTTTCAGTATGCATAATAATATATAAAAAAAATATTTGAAACTATTTGTTTGGGAGCAAGATTTAGACACGAATCAATTACATATGAAGGTGTAAGATGGAACCACTCTTATGGGTGGTTTTTATTTATTAAACAAACTACTAATTAAATTTTTTTTTTTCATATTCCTGTTTACTTTATTACTGTCAGGATAACGTCCTCTTTACTCTTGCTAATGTTTTCCACTGGACAGTCATTTTGAAATGCAGCAGCCCTGTGCAAACAACTTTTCTCGTGCTATAGCGACGCCTTACGCTAGACTCAAACCCGGGACCTCTAGCGCCATAAGCCAGCACACAACCAACTGCGCCACAGCTGTCGGGACTCCGCGTTATCACAGCAATAAATAATGTGAACACAGTGCTAGGCGCTCGCTGCTTCGCATCGCTTGCGAGAGCGGAGATGTGTGAAGGTCACGTATTTAACACAAGAGCGGGAGGTGAAGACTAAGGCCAGCTTACACGGACTTTACGGAGCACGTGTCGCGGCGATAACCCCTTTGCGGCTCGCGCGCTCTTGAGCTTCGGCAGCTTGAATACTGCTGTCATTTGTGTGTTCGGTAACGCGTCGCTGTCTTCGCGTAATAAAATGAAGTTTGCGCTTGGCAATCAGATCTGATTTTACCGAAAGTTGGTTGGTACGACTGGCAACCTGCATATTCATGAACATCTGTAGTTGTTTTCCAATCCTTAGTGCACAGAGGATTTTCTTCCGTTGGATCCACGTTATATAAGTTGTGTTTTATTTTATATGCTAAATAAATACTTTGATATACGAATGTACTGTAGTGTTGTTATTTTTATTTTTATTTTTTTAATTTTGTGATATTTGTAAAATATATGGAGTGTCATCAACATGTGCCACTTTTTCACCCAAATATAACGTGTCATTGCATACTTGAAAATGCCCTTATAACATTTTTAGTCCAACATTGAATACTGACATTATTTGTATTAAAAATGTGATTTCATATTAATTACTAGTTGGTTTGAGTGAAAGACATGTAAACGTTATGTACACCGACTATATTCTCCCTCCCACTGTGATCCCTTTAACTTGACCGAAATAATAATTATAATAAAACTTCTTTATGTTTTGTGGCGAAGTTAAGGTATTATCACCTTATCTTACACTTAACCACTTTCCACAATAAAACATAATTCGTATTTTTTAAAAGAAAAATAAAGAAAACAATGACACAAAACTTAATGTCTACTACAAACTTAGAAAGAGACTTGCATGAAATATATAAAAGCAACTTACATAAAATTAAAAAAAAACCTTAATTCTGAACTTAAACGATTAACACATATATACATACATAAAACCATATACACATCTGACATATATCCATATACATATAATTGTACTATTTATAAAAATTAACTATACGATAACATTGAATAGCAAATGTTCTAAAACTGAAATGTATTTTAAGGATTACTGAAGGACAGAAAATCACAGCATGTAATTAATTAAACACGGGGAAAGGACAAAAAAATATTTAGGTGAGACATTAAAAATTATAATATAAAATTTCTAAAATTATCAGTTACCTACAAATATACATAAAATAAGACATTAATACGTCTACTCGCACACGCTTATTCACACATCTACATACATTAATTATACATTTAATTAATTAAACAGTAACATAAGCATTAGAAACATCACTACAGTCGCAGGAAGCAGAAAGCAAATAAGTTACAGGTATTATAAAATAGGAACCTCCACAATAAATATTTTGTTTGCTTATATCAAACCCACATTTCAAATTCATTTAAATATTTATAGCGTGAGAAAGCTGTTATCACATATTTTTTTTAATTTAGTGATTGAAATTGTATCTCTGGCTTCCTGAGGTAAGCAATTCCAAAGTTTGGTTGCGGTGACGATGAAAGATGAAGCGAAAAATGACTTGTCTTTTGGTAATAGAAGCTTTTGTTGATCGAAAGAACGAGTGTTTGATGCATTGGGCGGTAAGAAACGAGACAAAAGGTATCGAGGACATCCTGTTAAAAATAATTTCTTTACCAAGCTGATCTTGGGCACTAATCGCAGATTTTTTAAATCAAGCCATGAGAGAGTGTGTCAGTATTTGGTGATATGGTCTTTCTTTCTAAGATTAAAAATAAGTCGTACACAGTTGTTTTGTATTCGCTGAAGTCTCTGAGATAGATCGTCATGCAGGTCACTGAAGACTTTATAAACATAATGAAGGCGTGAAATTATTAATGATTCTGTTAAGGTTTTCATCAATTTCGTAGGTAAGACATTTTTAAGCCTTCTTAATGAATGTTAAGTGACATTTGTTTGTCTACAGATGTAAGTGACATGGTCTCTCCATGTTAAAGTTTCACTTAATATTACACCTAGGTATTTTACGGACTTTGATAGAGGAATCGGCTCGCCATCAAGTATGATATTAGGGGAGCTAGTGACGTTTGGTGGTGTTAGTAGTTTCTTGGATCCAATTATAATGCTCTGGGATTTCTTAGGGTTTAATAGTAGCCCGTGTTTTATTGACAATTCTAAGATGTTTGACAATTCATGGTTAATTGTATCAATTGATGTAATATTACCGGCATTAGATGGCAGGTAGAGATGAAAGTTGTTTGCATAAAGATGGTTTTTACAATGTTTTAGTATCTGAGGGAGGTCATTAATGAAAATATAAAATAAAAGGGATCCCAGAACAGAGCCCTGGGGAACTCCAATTTTAACTGTGAGCCAAGCAGATTGTTGTTCTCCGCAAACAACTCTCTGATAACGGCCACACAAGTAACTTTTAATCCATTCTAACGATATTTTGGAGAAATTAAAATATGATTTTAGCTTGGCAAATAATAGCTCATGGTCAACGGAATCGAATGCTTTGCTAAAATCTAATAATATCAAAATCGTTACCAAACGGTTATCCATGTTATATTTTATGTCATCAGTGACCTGAAGAAGAGCCGTACATGGCTAAAGCCCTTTCTGAAACCAGACTGATTGTCGACCATCAGGTTATTTTCACTAATATACCTAGTTATCTGTTGTTGCCAATATAGTCAAGGGCTTTGGGAATTGTGGGAAGAATGCTTATGGGTGTATAGTCACTGGCACATTGGGGTTTATTTGTCTTCGGGATCGGTATTACTAAATCAGATTTCCACTGAGTTGGAAAGCTGCCTGTGATCAGCGAATAATTAAATATTTTAGTTAATGCATCTAAGATAAAGGCAAGGCTAAGTTTATCATGTCAATTGAAATTCTGTCATTACCCTCGGCCTTGGTTTTAATTCGTCTGATAGCTTTCAGAACGTCAACAGGCGTCACGACATTAAAGTAAAAAACGTTCTTCTACACAGCAAGTGTGGGCTTTAACAATAGACAATGTTTCATTTCTTGTTTCAGGAGAAATATGGGTACATGGAGTTGTGAAGTGAGTATTAATTTCGTCAGCACTTGGATTGATTTTTTGGTGATAGTTTTTAGTGTCTTTAAACTTTACACCCATATTTTTTAAAACTGCTTCATAAATGCCGCGGGGATGAGTTTGGCTGTATCAAGCGACGAGCGTGCGCAATTTTAGCCGTTCTAATGGTTTGGGTACACCGGTTTCTGAGTAAACGGTATTCCTCGAAATGCACAGATACAAGGATATAATTTTTTCTCTTAGAAGATTTATATTTACGAAAAGCATTATCCCGATCAGCCACTAAAGCTTTAATTTCCTGGGTCATCCACGGTGCTGGTGGACGAGAAACCCGCTTAGTTTGTTTCGGAATGTGCTCATCAATAATTTTGTATAATAAGGTTTTAGATGATTAAGTTTGTCATCAACTGTATGCAAATAATCTATGTCACTCCACTGTATTTCAGAAGCATCGTTAATAAAATGTGGCATGCCGATCCTTTTCAAATCTCTGTAGGTGATAATTTTCGGTAAAAATTTTGGAGTACGAAGTGAATAGGTTGCATGTATGAGGTCATGGTGAGGTAAACCCGGCTCACTGATTTGTCCACAGTGTAGGACTTTGTCAGCTTTTGACGTGAATATAAGGTCAAGCAGCGTGTCCGCGTTATTAGTATGGTGGGTGGCTTCAAGTGGACAGTATACTAGATTACACGAGAAGAGTAAGGAGCAATGTTTGACGTGATTCTGTTAAGAGGTCGGTGTTAATATCACCCATAGTCAATACATTATCATAACTATGAAGTATAGCAAATAGGTCGTTTTCTAAGTCATCCATGGGCCATATCTTAGGGGGTTTGTAGACAACGGCAATCAGTAGTTTTTGAGTAGAAATGTTTAATTTTATGTCAGCTATGTTGGTGGATCACGAGTTATGTTGGTCAACATGTCTGCAAGTGTGTAATAAATTTGTTTGTTGCTTGTATCTGTTGCAAATAGCTTGGCCGGATGTTGTAATCAGCGTGACTCGGGGTCCGGGGAATATTCCAGGCCAAGGCCAGGTGACACTATAAATGCGCTTCAAGCCTCGGACCCGGGAGTTGACGAGAGTCTGGAGTCTGGGCGATAGCGCGACCTTGAGCGATAGACGACGAGCGAGAAGAGAGACAAGTGGCGTTTGAAGTGTCCAGCGGGAGGAAAATCTTCGTCTGCGAACATCGGCGCAGAGACAAATGCGACTGGCTGACTGGACCTTTAGATTGGATTCGAGGATGAGAGACATGTCAAATGATGGCAGCAGACAGACTGTACATGTGTTAATGATGAGCGTGAGCTAATTGACCACGACCAGACAGAGACGTTGAGAATGTCTTTCATTAGTGTGGGGACCGCGGTGTCTTAGCGGTTAGCAAGCTCGCCTCCCACCAAGGCAAACCGGTTTCAACCCCCCCCCCCCCCCAATCACTGGGTCACCGGATTCTCGCAAGTGGGAATAGTGCCGGACGATGCCGTTGGTTGGAGGATTTTCTCGGGGATCTCCTATTTGCCCCGCCCCTTCATTCCAGCGCCGCTCCATATTCACTTAAATCACCCTCATCGGCTCTCAAGACCTCGCTCCCCCCTCAATTCTCTTCACTCGCTAATTTAATTAGTGTGAGATAAACATTAAATATTGTGCTCTTCGAGAGATAAAATGAGTAGTAGTGAAGATAGCTAGAATAATGCTGTAAATAATAGCTGTGTGAATAAAAGAATATAAAATGTAGTTCTTGTATTTTTATTAAGACCTCCAACCCTCACTAAATCAGATACTCTTCTCAGGTGTAATGCAGCAGTATTGCGATTAAAATTACGTATGAAAGAGGTTAATTCACTAGTAATAATGAAGTGTTTCATGCATCACTGTCTGTTGC